ATGACCACTCGTCGGCTGCCTCATTGCTGATAAAAAGGAGCCCACGTGAGTCCCATAATTTGGCCAGGCGAACAATCTCATAGAGATTTTGGTATATTCCCCTTGCCGTGGGATATAACCATTTCTCAGCAGCTGAGGCATTCGGTATGCCATGCATAGCCCATCATCAAGGTGATCTGTCGCATCATAGGAACCTGTACCCACCAAACGAAGTCTGTAAGCATTCAAAGGCCTATATGGCTGCAGCTCTGGAAGGACCTCATTTCGAAGTGGGACTTCATGACCACCAAACATGCGGCTGTAGGGCTCTTGGGCTCCAAGCTCCAAGCTTTGTCAGGCTTTCAGACAGTTCTCCCAAACGTGCAACTAATTGAGGAAACTTTCGGCCACAGGCAAGGGTCTCGAACACCCCTGAATCTGGGGCCGTCGGCCGCTATAATGCCCATCAACTTTTTGTAGATGCTCCGATGAGTAGAGGAAGGGCATCTCGACAAGAGCCTCTCGTTGGGGAAAGATCCCAAACCTCCATGCCAATAATTCAACGCCATCACAACAATATGAAGGACTCGCTTGAGATGAAGACGTCTTCTAGCATGAAGAGAGAGACATGCCGGCATCCTGTTGAAAAGGCCAGTCTCAGGGACCGGAACAGGGAAAAGCGACGAAGTCGAGACTGAGTCGTCTCGAGGCACATGTAGAGAAGACTTCAAAAATGCTGAAAATGGAGTTCTGGTTCGCAACACATTTCGTAGAAGGCCAGCACACCACTTCCAAAAAGTAAAGGTCTTGGGCACCTTCGTGAACAAAAAGTCATTGAGGCCACCATCTTCTGCTTCCGGGACCTTATCGGGGGAGACTGGATTTCGATCGCGCACTTGGATTTCCCGGTGAAGGCCATTTCTTCCTCTCTCCTTGTCGCCTGTCCTTCCCGTCTTCATGTCTTGTCCTGTGGTCTCTAGTTAGCTAGCAGCTTTTGGGGCGTAGCCATGGCATGATAGTACCTAGGACACCTGGGGACAGATCGCGCCAAGCTGCACGACGGTTGAGGCCTCCGCTGCCTTCAGGTAGACCTGTAAAAGAGGATACTGGTGGAAATCGTGACCGGTCATAGTTCTCACCCTTCTTCTGAATTCGAACTGTCCTAGGTGAGCTATTCAAACGGGAACCATGAAACTCACCCGGCATGCAATGATCTCGCTCGGTCATGAAGAGGTCTCGCGCGCCGCCTTCGGGCGCTTTGGAAACCTGGGCTTTCTCTTCGGAGAGCCTGTCTGTCCTCCTCCATCCGTCTCCTCCTTCACAACCGAAGCCTTTGCCTTTGCTTCGGGCTTCTTGTTGGCAAGGATCTCCATGTCCTTCAAATAGCTCAATGTTGTGGCTGTCCATGAAGGCGGAATCAGTGGTGAGAAAGTTTCCCGACCTCACTGCCAAATCTGCTTGCAGTTTCTCTCTCCGTTGGACCCCTTTCATAGACAAAGTTCCCGACAGACCTGCCTGCAGGTCCACAAGAGGATCTCCTGAATGAGACATCAAGTGAGCCACTAGAGGTCAACGCTGTCGACTGTTGAGCCAGGGCATTCACTATGACTCCTTGTGAAGGCTCTCCATTTCCCACAAGCAATTGGGTTCTTCTGGAGGAAGAGGGGCCAGAGCCTGCTGAAGCTGCATCTGAGACATCTTTGTTTTCGGAGGTGGACCCACCAAAGCGAGACTTTTTGCCACTGTAGATGGAGGGCCAGCCTCTGAACCAAGGGCGCCGGACACTCCCGGCAACTTGCTTGTCTTGCCAGTCTGCTGACCTCCTGCAGGAATGGCAGAGGTGGGAACGTTCCCCTGCTCGAGAAGGTCCTGTCTTGCCGCCAATAGCTGAACCTGAGAGGAAAGCACGGTCATCTGCTCAAGAAGAACTGCATTGGTAACCCTCTTGGGGGCTGCTGCTTTCTTTGCACCTTGCTTTGCTTTCGGAGCACTGCCCGGGTCTTCTTGAGCCGAGTAAAACCCCGACGAAGCTTCCTGTCTCTCAGTAATCCATGCCACGACCTGCTGGTTCAACGCTTGCAAATCAGGGATACATCCTGGATGCTCATCATGGTACGGCACGACCTCGATGTCAGAGTCAACAACTGGGTCGTACTGCCTCACAAAATTGAGCAGGTCATCGGTCACATCAATGACATCCACCATGCCAGCTGCATTGAGAGGCACGGGGGTTCCATCATCAGCTTCCTCGACCAATGGGACCTCCAAAGCAACTCCTACACCCAGCCAGGTGGGAGCCATCTCTGCTGCATCGACGTCCTCAAACATGCTGGGAGAAATCACACCATGAGGGATGCACAAAAGGAATCCCCCCTCTCTGCCCAACAAAGGAAGCCCATATAGTTCCGTCACTGCTCCTGTAATGGGAGGGGACAAAGTGACCACCAGGAGCGAATAGTCACTGTGCCCTGCTGCAAACCTCATTTCATGCCGCTGCATTGATACAGCGGAGGCACGCTCGTCCCGAGGACGAGCAGAAAACTTGAATCTCTGTGATGGATGGGAATCCCTGGTAAATGACACCGTCAGCACCAGCCTTCTGAGAGCTCAACAAAGAACGTAGTTCTGAGAGCTTTCGAACTCTGATCGGTCCAGCCAAACGGCTATGCCTCACCACAATCCAATGAGCGTCAGAGAGTGAGATGGGATCTGCCTGAGTATACTCGGTGTGTGTAGCGTTCGCTGCCCACGCCCAGAAACCAGCTCTCCAAGCTCGAACGATGCGATCCTTTGGATTTCCGACCACAGACGTGATCTTTGATGATGCTAAAGCGAGCAAGTCCTCAGGAATAGGCTAGGTAGAGGATGAAGTCGAGGATGCCAAGGACGACCTTTCCAAAGCTACACTCAATCTATTCAAAGCCTCAATCAAATGTCCAACGTCCTCCTTTGTGACCGGTGTGCTCATTCACCTCCTCTATAGGAAGCAAGTCTTGCTCTCTTCTCTAAAGCCGATGGCCTCAGCAAATCCAAATCGGGAGAAGCATGAGCCTGAGTGCGTAGAGGGATGGACGAAGCAAGAGGAGCAGGATGGCCCAAGTAGAACCAAAAGTAGATCGCTCCCAGCAGCGCAACCAAGATGCCAAGGGAGACCCCTGAAAGAAACCAGGGGAGGCAAGAAGATGAGCAAAGGAGGGGGCAGGAACTGCGAGCAGACAAGTCAGAAAGGACCTTGACAAGATCCGAGACCGACTGAAGAGACCACATTCCTTGAGCGGAAAGGTGCAGAATCGTCACCACACCTGTTTCCGCATGTTGTATGTATCTGATTCTATCTGTCGCAAAGGTAAAGAAGAGACATGTTTAATTTATACATGTGTTTTTTCTCTGACAGGTTCCACTTCTGCTGGATGCCACGCTGCCACAGGTTATACGATGGTGAAATCATCCTATGGGATTTGGCAGCTGGGTCGGGACTCCGATTAAATAGTACCTGAGTTCAGCTAGATTATATGCGCGACATATTGATGAAACTTTGTTACTTGATTGAATCATGACTGTCTATGACTATCCAACAACAGCAGGCTTGCGACCCACTTCCATCTTCTGCGCTTGGGACTCTGACGTAAAAGTCTAGTACAGTGTCACACCTGGCTACACTCCAAACTCAGCCCTCTACTCGCTCCAACTCTTCAAAGTCCGCCGTCAAATGACCAGAGTCACGCCGCAGTCTGAGCGGAGCCTTCTGCCCTTTGGGCACAGAGGGGAGATCCACCGCCAAGCGCACCTCAATGGCACGCATGCAGCATGCATGCGGCATGCGATGCGAATGCAGCTGTCAAGGGAAAGACCTTTGCTGGGACCTGGAGGGTGTCGCATAGTGCGATCACCGGACATCAGAAAAAATAGACAGGAAGAAGAGACTGAAAGGGTGGTCCAACAAAGCAGGTCAACCAAAATAGAAACAGAAAGACGATCAAAAATTCTTTCCGACAGATGGTCCTCTTCAGGGCTCAAAGGCTCAAAGCTTGTTTCAGCCATCTTCGTCTTCTTGGCACCCCATGAGTCATGAAGCGCCTCGGCCTCGCATCATGCGCGCATCAACCCTGGCATCCTCACCGAGCGGCATAGAGGTCACCACGTTTGCTTCCAGACTGGACGAGGCCCTTGCCTTTCAGCCTTAAGACCTGCAATCCACAGGCTCCAACATGGGTCAGAAGATAAGGCTATCACTGGAGATTGAACCTCAGGTACTGAGTCTTAGAAATCGAAATCAGGAAGCAAATGGTGTGGATTGTGACGACATATGACTCAGAACTTGTCCCCAAACAGTTTCATCATGTTCATCTCCTTAGAAAACAAATAATATAGAAATGAAAAAACACACACACTTTCTTCACACTGGGCTTTCACGAACTCCATCCATAAATTCTTTCTCCATCTTTCTCCAACGGCCACCGCTTTCCTTGGCGTCTCACCGCCGGAGTCGATCGTCGACCGTCGGCGCGGCACCTCATCCGGTCGTTCGAGCCTCTCCCGGGTGATGCTCACCTCGGTGAGGAGGGTCCGGAGTCGTGGCGAGGTGGTGTAGGTCGTAGGTAGTGTAGGTCATAGAAAATGCATGGAGAGCTCCGGTTGTACCACCACACATACCATCCTGTAGTTGGTTGGTAGGTCAGTTTTGTTGGGTATATAAGGGTGTACATCCCCGACCCAGGGGCCCAGTGGATGATGACGGTGAGGTTGTAGGCCCTTCTCAAAAGAGTAATGTTCTCTTTTGCCGACTGTTACTGGTCGGGATATACCCAAGTCAGAAGTAACAAACCAGACTTCACCGAGCTGAACGTTCTCCCTGGACTCCACCAGCATCGCTTTCCACTGTCTCCACCATCGCCGCTTTTGGCGTCGAAGACGGCGACCCGACAGCAGAGAAGCCGGCGGGACGCGCAGTCGAAGCCGGGGCTGGGGTCGATTCGAGCTGAACAGACAGGGTAAGCCAAAACACGTCGAGGTATGATTTCAGAGTGTGAATTCGCCGATCGTCGCCAGTCTTGCCCTTCATCAGTTTGTTTTTTGGTTGGTGTCCGAACGACTTGATGCCTACCCGTGCATCTGTAAAGGGATTGCTGTCCTACCTTCCACGAGCACAAACTCCACGACATCATTTCAACACAAACCAACCAACCTCCAGAGGTTGGAAGAATGTATTCACGACATGTATATACCCATGAGTGCAAACAACAATTCAAAAACAAAGAGTAGAAAAGAAGAACAAGCACCAGCCAGTACTGGTAGCGAAATGCATGCTTGGGATGGACCTTGGGGAGTCTTGCAAACCTACAGGGTTGAACCAGGAACCTCCTTAAACCGTCCATGTTGCTCAAGCGAGCAAACCATTTGGACACATTTCAGGTGTTTGTTCCCAACAAGAACCACGCAGGAGTGCCCATATGGCATTATTATGTGGGATTGTGTGGCTGTTTCTAATGGCCACATGAAGCCCCTGTAAAAAAGGCCCCTCCAGCATCCCACCGACCAATCTGCCAGCTCAAGGTACAGTCTCTTGACCTAGGTGTCTCCAAGAGATCCTGAGGCCGATGAACAGCCTAACAGCCCGGGTTGGCCCAAAACAACGGCGGGCCCCAGAAGAAAACAGCCAAACTGCAAGAATTCCTGGCAGCTCTTGAGCTCAGCTGCACTCTACTGTTGGGTGTATCCCATTACCAGGGATGATGATGCTTAGTACAGGCCGTCACTGGTGGGACACACCGTAACTGTATGTGAAAGATCAACCACCCCGCCCAGTTGAGGGAATCCCTGATGATTGCTTCAGGCGTCCGTCGTTCTGGCCAACGGCCAACCACCCTTCGAGTGACACTAGGGTCAATGCACAAATCCAAAAACTGCACCAGGGGTGTTGTTTGGACGCTACCGCTAAGGTGGTAAAAGGACGCCCCTTACCAGCAATTTGGTGGTATCTGTCAGCAAATGTGGTGTTCAGCTTCAAACCGCATCCATCTCAGCCTTTCTGAAGGGCTTAGGGGCCATCAGGCGCCATCATCGAAGGGTAAAAGGCGCCCTTTTTCGCCAAGGAAGCTGACTGGGCTTCATGGATGCAAAGACAAGACAACTTCTTACTGAAGAGACCATACTAGTGTAGCGGACACTGCACACATCTGCACCTGTCAGCTTCCACTGGTTGTGCACAGCTTGCCCGTTTTGGGACAACCCAGGACAACCCTAAACCCCTTTCTGATCAGATCATTGACCCGGCCCGCTCCCCTAACGAACGCACTCAATTGCAGCAAGGTGCGAAAAGCCAAAGATGGCCTGTTCTAAGGAGATGTGGAGCACCTCACATTCGGAGAAAAATCGTCTCTCTGCTCATCGTATTACCCTGATCCGCAAAGGCAGAACGTGAGCGATAGTGGATCGGTATGATTCCTGATAACAAACACCGCGGGTGTACACAACACTAACGTTTTGGCAGGTGCGGCAGGTTGTGTTTCGCGGGAACCAAAAAAGCTTCGATTTTGGAAGATGCATTCCTTGAACAAATGTGATGAGGCCAGGACAAGAAACAAGAAAAACACCTTCACAAAATGTTTTCGTTGATGCGGCGTGCGGCGTGCACAGGGAAATGCTATTTAAAGATGATGTCTTTGATAGTTTTCCCATCAGACGCTGGCGAGGCCCTTTGGAATTGGGGCCCGGAATTGGGCGCCGGCCATTGACGTTCCCGTAAGATCACATTGACGTTTCCGTCTCACAGGGTGTCCCTCGATATGTTGGGAAATGGCTGTTCTGCATGCCAGACCCGTAAAAGAGACCCTTCTTTGGCCTGGAGGCAGTCAAAGACAGTTTACAAGAAAATGTGGAATGAAGCTTTGCGACACTTCCAGAAGGAATTCCAAGAAGTGTTTGTTTAAAATGTGTTCTGCTTCAGAAAGCATTCTTTCTCATGGGTGGGACATGTCGAGACATCTTTTAACAAGCTTCACAGAGAGGAAGATTCACTTACAAATCTTACAATCCTCGGATCACATGGGCATCTGTGGGCTATGGGCTTCTCCCTTCACTGAGCAGCTCAACATGGAGAACAGTCACAACGAAAGGCATGCCAGCAGAGGTTGAAGAACCCATAAGAACCCTATAGACTATCCTATAGGTACCCCAGGCGACGGGGTCCTATTTACGGTCACAAAAAACAAACTCTGTTGGTGAGATGCCCAGTTGTGGGCCAGACTCTGCCATCAGACTCATTCAGTGAGGCCTATGAACCCACCATTGTATGATGTCCATTCGTGACTTCTTCTCAGGTGCTTCTACGAACAAATGGCTCTGGTCTGGTTCCTTACAATATAGACTCCAGGAAGATCCTGTAAGCCCTATTCGAAGGATGCTCATCCCACAAATTGTTCCAGCATATACAGGAATTATACTCATCCAAATTCAAAGGGGAGTCTATTATTCCATCTGTCAATCCCACTCTCATCACCAGTTGCAGCCCTGGTTTTCCAGTGTTTTGATGCACTTCCGAGCTTCCCGCCGTGTGCAAATCCGACTCAGCAATCCGGTAGCTATCCTCTTTGCTTCCTGGAAGGTTGCGTTCACGAGACAGGCATGGGAAGTGAGTGATTCTGATCCACCCATCTGACTTGAAAGGCAATGACCAGTGAATCACGGTCAGATATTTTCCCACCACCAATCCTCAGATCTTCCACTTGCTTGTGCTTGTCTCGGGGCTGGAAGATGGGATAGAAATTCAAAAAGGGACGGGACGCCTGCTTCATCGACAGCCAAAACATCCTACTGCAGCGACCCCAAAAAAAGGAATCCCAAGCGTCGCAAAGATGGTATGTCAAGACTCATCGATCGCTGATCGCAGCAGGCGATGCATCATGGCCAACACAGAGTCTGACCCCCGTAGCCCAGACGTTCTGCCAGATGTTCTGCAGCTGTTTTTCACCCTTCACCTGGCATCGCCTTCACCACCCAAAAGCGGCATCGCCGGATGCCACCCCGCATCGGTTTCTTTTGGGCCTCGCTGAACCTTGAAGTTCACCTGGCCGAGTTGACTTCGGAGGTCCAAAGGAAATCGCTGTGCCACAAGAGCTTTCGGGGATATAGTCGAAGTCATACGTAGAAGTCATATAGAAGTCATATAGACTTCATAGAAGTGGACACAACCATGATGGCTTCGATTGCGAATCTTGGCAGCTTGAAATGGCCCAAATTGCCCTCAAAGTCACATGACATGACTGTAGCAACTTAGGAGAAACTCGTGGTGGCAGTGCACCCACACCCCAGCGGGCTCGTTTCGCGCCAACCTCGATCCAAAAAAGTCTCGCCCTACGAAAGAGTGCGCGGCAACGAACAATCGCACCATCCAGTCGCGCTTCGCACGTGAACGCGGTTTTCGCACGCGAAGCGTGCACCCGGGAACTGGATGTCGGTGCAATTCTGCGCGCCTTGCCAGGGAACTTGCCCGGTGTCTGGTGCCCCATGTTGGGGAGCACCTGCCGCGGGAGCTGACGAACGCGCTCTCGGAGCACTGGGTGAAGAGTTGGGAGGGATCGGAGCGCCTGGTGGTGTGAGTTCAGAATCGAAAATAGCTTCAATCGCTGTTGAAGCACACCGAGAATCCATCTGAATCCATCTGAATCCACCCTTGACACCATGTGACATGACACAAAAACCATCCACCATATTCTCATAGACGAGTGTTATTGAAGGAAGAATCAGCGGCTACTCTACCCGGTGCCCAACCCTGCAGCAGCTCTCAATCAGAGTCTTGTTTCAGGAATCCGGAACAGAACATCTTTCAATCCATACAAATACCAACCTGTTGTGCAGCCTGGCTGCTTCGCCTGGCTGCTTCGCCTGGCCGCTCCCCAGGTTCCCTGGCCCCCCCCCCATGTTTCGGAGGCCTTGAGAGACGAGCCTTGCTTGGCACCTTTGGCCACACGCACGGCCACCTGCCACAAGCTGCTCAGCAGCTGCTCCAAAGTGGAAAAAAAGGCCTCTCCCTCTGGTGCATCGCAGGTCATGGCAATGGCCATGGCGGCTTTTCCAAAACCTTCGAAATCTGGAAACTCTTGGATTTATGGATCAAAACTGGTGGATTCTGAGAGTCTCCAAGGCTGTTTCATAGGCTTCCTGATTTCAGAGTCGATCCTGTGGCAAAGGATATGGCAGATGAGGTCCATGTCCCCAATCAGGTAGCTTCTTTGCTCCTCTTGAAAGGGACCTAGTTATTGAATCAGGGTTCCTGAGATCAGGATTCATGAGATCAGTTGTCAATCTGGTTGTATCAACAACATTGACATCAAATCATCGTGTCAAAGCCTTTTCGCCGTTCCAATCATGTGGCATTCCGATCGTGTGGGTGCTTGCAGATTACCCTGCCAACCCCCCCTGGAAAAAAGAAAAAAGCATACGTATGAAGCGCGTGGCCGGACATGTCCCCGGTGCCTCGACCCCCACTTCGTGGCATCGTTCCCGGCTTTCCTGCTCCTTTTCCCTCATGCCGACGACCTGGCGGTGCGCAGCGTCCGGCTCTGAAGATGGGTCTTGTGACAACTCTGCTCGGCTGGAACAAATAACTGTTTTCACTGGTTGTTGCTTGGGCACATGTTTCAAACATATCTCCGCACTGCTGGGTGATGTTTAAATCCTTGCAGAGAAATCACCCAGCTTTTGGTCGGTCATGATGGGCAACCTTAAGCCAGAAAGTAGGCCCTAATATGAAGCAAGTCCAACCAATAATTCAATATAGCCAGCCGTGTGCAAATCTCCTCATCTGAGCAGGAATGCTCACCGAAATGTCATGGACATGTGCGATGAATCAACACGGATCTAGCAAATCTGACCAAAACTCCCTCATTCATGCTTTGTCGGCAATGTCAACAATGTCGCCCATCAACCATGCTCATTCTCCCATGGTCCATTGCACACGTCCCGACTACCCGAATGGAACCGAACTCCACTTCCAAACTTCGCAAAGAACATCTGGGCACATGTCCATGGACTCTCATTGGACTATGGCTCCCAAAGAAAAGAAAGTAGCGACCGTGAATCATTGGTCTTGGTCTATCTATGTCTGACAGCTTGCAAAGTGACCAAAGAAATACAATCAAACTCCATTAATGTCCTGCTTTTACAACCGATTGTAACACCAAAGAGCCGAGCGCTTTTCTCCGATCGGGCCTGCCGCCCGAAGGGTGTCATGCCATACTTCGGCACCTGGACCTTCGATCGTTTGCAGCGAAGGTTTCGGTAGAGATCTCGGATGAAGATACGGAGAAGGTTCAAGCTGGATGCGCCTGACTTTGAAGAAAGCGTGTTCTCAAAGTTGTCTGATGAACCTAAAATACACATATATGCATATAACTAAATATACCTATATTTACCTGTGAGATCTTTGAGCTCCTGATAGATGAGATTCTGTGTGTGTGCATCGAGGACCATGATGATGCTCTATCTATCTTAGCCAGCTTCAGGTTGGCCTGCAAGTCAGCCATGGTCTTCGCTTGTAAAAAAGGCACAGCACAGACTAGAACCATCTAGAACCCATGGAGGTCAAAATTCACAGGAAGTGTCTCAAGATTGGAGCCAAGGTCACCACAAGTTTTGTTTCTCTTCCCCCATCCACAGCCTTCTCCGGAGGGCAACGACCACAATCTTGGCATTCCGGCCTGACAGAGTTAGCTTCTGACATTTGTTTAGCTGATTCATTCTTGAGGTCCAAATCCTCCCTCGAGCCCCAAAAGAAGTAATCTCTCCACAAATTCACGTTCTGGGAAAGGCGTCATAACGAACATCATAAGATTCGATAAGGATAAGGATATTGCCAGATAGGTACTTCAAGGAGCTGCTTCCCAAGCCGACCTGGTTTCTTTCCAAGATTCCGTGGTGGGCCCTCTCGGGTTCAAATGTTCAAAAGAATAAGCATCGCAACCTCGCAATGTTCTTAACCCAATGAACCTTAGAAGGTTGCCAGGGTGGCCCCTTGTGGACCTGGGAGTTGCGGATGTGCCTGAGACAAAAGAGACGTCATGCAGACGTCTCGCCATGCAGTCTGAACGAAGAGAAAACAGTCCTTCTTCGATCCTCTATACCGCCTGTCTGCGAGACTGGCACGTGCTTCCTTCATCTGGTGTTCTGAAGGCTTGCTCAAGCGGAAGAGCACCATCTGGGTAGTAGGTGATGGTCGTGGTACTTTGCTCAGGGAGTGCTCCAAAGTCGCTCTCCTCCACCCACCCATAAAAGGCGCGTCCAACCTCCTTCGGCTTCATGGGTCCCTCTAGTCGCCAGGGTAGCGCAAGAATAGAATTGTAAAATGGTGCACAAGCCAGTGCTAGCTGACTTTCTCATCCACGATTCCAAGGGAGTTGCCCCTCTCACTGCACATTCCTGCAAACCCACACAACGAAGGTCTATATAGTATAGCTAGTATAATTAACCTCCTATGTAGGATACGTTGTTAAGTATACTAGAGTAGTTAAGCATATCACATCCTCGCCGATGTATTAAGTCGTCAATCTTCATGGAGGTTGGTCAAGAAAGAACGGTGCTGCTTCTATCGGCACGTTACGCAAGCGGCATGGCTCACAGTTGGAAAGTCTTCACCGAGCTCCCTGGCCGCTTGGTTGTGACAACGATAAACAGGTGCATGGACAAGTACAATTTCAGGGAGCCCAAAAAAGAAGACAAGACACTCAGGACTTTGACGGGCACTAACAGAAAAACAACTGCAAACCACTTCTTAAACCCACACAACGCCAGCTTTGTCCGGTTCCCACTGTTTGGGGTTTACTAGAATATGTTAGAAGGTTTGACGCCAAGAAGAAATCACTCTCCCATGCCTCGTCGGGTCTTCTTTGCAGCCTCTACAAATCATCGACCTGGACTCAAGCGGGCCACTGGAGAGGCCAAATGACATCGAGAGTTTCTCGTGTCCCGGACAGGAAGTATCTCCCCAGTAGCCATCGACCCTGTTCTACTAGGAACTCCCTGTGCTGCTGGCAAGTCAGGCTGCAGGCCCATACTTCCCGGCATGCTGTCTTTGAGGCTCGAAGGTTGGAGGGGTCAAGCCGTCCAGGAGTCGTTCCAATATTCAAAAACGTCCCTCCAACAAATGGAAACTCAAACAGCGGAACTGATGAAGATGCATGCCATGTTCGGCTGCTGGACGTGGGGGGTCAATTGCCTAGTGTGGGATTTAGGTAGTAGCAACTCTAAAGCCTGGCTACTAATACCAATGTAGCAACATGACTTGTTGAGCCGGAAGGTGCCCACAGCTTGCAGCCTCTGAGTCAAAAGGTGCCAAAACATCCAAGAAACCAACGGACCAACGGAGGACATGGCCCCGTTCGACCCCCATTCTTCGACCCCCGTTCAACCACCTCTCGACTGCTTCACTTCCACCCCATGCGCCTTTGAAAGACGAAGATCTTCTTCTCCACGCCGTTGTAGAGTTCGGAGGCTGAGATGGGCACCAGGACCTGGCAAAGAAGCTTCTGTTTGAAGGTGAGGCATGGAGGGAAATTGCATCCTGTTTGCCTGGGAGGCCATGGAAGAACATATTTTGAGATGGTGATGTACCACAGTCCTCTACCCTCCCATCAGCTGTTATACAACCTTATCGCAGGTGTTTGGCTCAGTATCCTTTGACAGGTGCTTTGAAGGGCCTCGTTACGGCTTAGCGTACATTTGTGAGCACTGCAATTATGTGCTGTGTGAGTCTGCAAAAACAGTGCAAGGAAAGGTTGCAGATTTTACTAGCCATGGTGCTTTAGTAGATTTGCCATGTTTCTGGCAACACGATGGTTAAAAGTTGGGAGCAGGCCGGTTGCACTTCCTATTTGGTACTGGAATGTACCGGCAACTCTTCTAGACAGACCAGGGGTGGACCTGTCAATTGAAGTGCTCAAGGCGCGATTGGATAGAGATATCAGAAAAGGTCCAACTTTGTTGTTCCGCCAGTCAAGCACTTGCAGCACACGGGCAAAGAAAAACTTGAAATGTAGAAACAATATCCACAATCGTTGGTAGCACCAGCATCCTCCCAAGCTTGACCCTAGCCTCTAACTCCTCACTCTGCAGCTTCTGTTGGATCTTACTCTCCACGTTTGCCTCATCATCAAGGGAGTTGCAATTAGCAAGCTTGTCACACAGGTGTCTCTGCTACGCGTTGGTTTCGGCATAAACCAATCTCATCCTATCAGATTACTCCATGCAAGTGACAGCTTGTCGAACCAGCAGACTTCAAAATAAAAAGGATCTGATGTAGGCGTCGCGTTTATCGAAGCTTCAAACCTACCAAAAGAATGCTCCATACTCTTGACCAGCCTCCAAACCCCTCCTAAAGTGTTCTCAAGACAACGACTGTGATGGGTGGCACCTTGTCAAACTGCCGCTTTTGCTGCTCAATCTGCTGTTTGAACCTCAGGGAACCATTGCATGCACCAACGGTCCGAACGACCTCAGGGAACCATTGCATGATTTCGTGGAGCTTTCAGATTTCAGGTTGGCCGGACATGATGTCGTCGGCGCGGCTTAGTTCATCCATCCTCACACAACCTAGAATCCATCCTCCTCGGTCCCTCCTTTCATCTGACTGGTGCCCAGTAAGGAATGACGGTGGCTGAATCCGTACCTCCAGCATGCGGACTGAGGGTCATTCCTTCCTTCCCTGCAAATCGCCATATCACACCACTCAGTGTCACTGGATCCGCAGGGGAAACTCTTCAGGCCCGTGATCTCCACCTGTCAAGACCGTGATCTGCAGGTTCCTTGCGTCCCTTGGGTGATTCAGTGACCCAAAAGTGTCTGCGACCGAAAGCAATGACTCGAAAATGAACGAGACAGGGTTTTTGAAGATCGGGTGGATTCACCGGCAACTGGCGAACAGAACATGTTGCTAGACATGTGATTCTCCCTGTGGAATAGCTCTTGAAAACTGTTCTAGTCGATCCATCTCCGAACCTCGACAAACTTCAGTCGGCGGAGTCCAAGTCTTTGCATTCTCCCAGTGGTCTTGTGCATTCTCCTACCTATTCTGCATGACTCGAAGCGATATCCTCATCTCATACGTACCAAGACTATCCAAGACCACCAATCTTCCACAACAGGGATTCATCGAATTTCATCACTCAACCAGGATGAATCGAGGCACTCTTGAAAAAGGTAGGATACTCTTAGGATCTCTTGGTAACAGCAAGCTAGAGAGACATACACTAAACCGATATCGATGCAGCCAACAATTTCTGCCTCCAAGCTATCCAGTTGCGCCATTTAGGACCCTGGTGTTTAACCTCAAAACGCCCCATCCTAGCGATCTGAGCCAACCAGGCATCTGGTACTGTGGATGATTCTTTGGCACCTGGCAGCGGTTTTCACAGCGGTGTCCCTCTCAACAGCCAGGACGTGTAGACACGCACTGAGGGCCACTGAAAATGATGAGATATGATGAGCCCTTCCAAAAGGCAGCAAGTCCTTTTCTAGACTTAACCGATCAACAAAATACTTTCAGGATGGGTTGAAAGTTACCAAACCAAGCTTTCTTGGGTGATTAAATTTTACCCCATCAATCTTTTGAACTTTTGTATAGCTCTAGATATCAGTGCTTTCATCCGAAACTAGGAAAACACCAAGTGACCGAGCCAGCGTGGATGAAAATTGTGCAGAGGAGCCAAATGCGTCAGGGATCAGTTGCATACAACGTGTCAGCTATAATGTCACCTATACAGCACAAGCGAAGAGTAAATGCACGGGGGGATCCAAATACTGATTGGTTCGTTTTCTGCCCACCCTGAAGCCCCTGATGTTACACGGGAAAAATACACAGAGTGATCGACGACGAGCTGACTCTCTCGCTTGCGGCAAGACATCGGACCTGGTTGAGCTGCGCATCCTCAGGGGGAGCGTGGGTGGAGCGTGGGGGGTTGGGGCCCCCTGAAGTCCGAAAGACACGAAGGATAGCTCGGGAAACTCTATCTGCAACACGTTGGAATTGGAGAGCGGCCCCTTAAGACCTCCTTCCTCTAGACACGTGAATTCGCCACTTGCATCTTCTGGGGGCCTGTATCTCAAAACGAACGGAGTGAACGTGTTCAAAAGGTGTTGAATCGGCATCAGATTGGGAATCCCAGCTTCAGCCTTTGACAAAAAGTGCTTGAGTGGTAAACCAAGTACTTCAGATTCAGGACCCAGCCCAAATCTCCAGTTTGGTGCAGGCAAGCTTCTAGCTGCGCCTTTTGCCCTTCCACCTCCTTCCAAGCTATCTCCACGTTCTTCACCAGCTGCATCCCACCTGAGTATGAAACCCCAGAATCATCCCAAGTCAAGGAGAGTCCAAGGGAACCAACTGAAAATTGGGCCAGGCATAGTTCTTCCACAGACCAACTGCTACCAGACTTTGAACCAGACAGATCCGCCCTTTCTGTTCAGCGAATGAACTATGTTCTATAGTCTTCAGAATCGAATCCCAAACGTCCGTTGATCACGGCAGATTGGGCTGGAGAACTAATTGTAGCATTGGGTCCAAGTCTGTGAGATCCTTCACTCCAACTGTTTATCCAAACGCTGTCAAGCCACCCAGATTGTATTGCCTTAGAAGCTGCGTGTCTTCGGTTTTTCAGCAAGCAGGGTTCCTCTCAACCCATGGGGCCACCCCTGCCCAGGCTACATTTCTATAGTGCCAATCAAAAAAAAAAACAACTTTTGCTTTGCATGTGGAGGAGACCCTGATGCCCCAAACATCTGCCACTCGATGTGTCACATCACTTTCCTGAAAACAAAAAAAATACCCCCGTGTTTCTTTTGACCAGCGGGGAAGTCACTGGGAAACGGGTCGTCTCTTCCGGTTGAAGAAGGGAGGTTGAAGAAGGGAGGTCGAAGACGTCACTTGCATCATGATCACAGGGATCTGACTGCGGCGCCGGCACATGTCCTCGTGCGTTCTCAGGGTGGCTCTCGCAACCCAGCGTTGTAGAGAGTGTAGGTTTCGGCGCGACCGAACACGCAGCCCTTGAAGCGATCTATCATGGGACCATGACGAATGGGTAGGGTGGGAACGTTTTGCTGCACAGCTGATGCCCATAAGGCATGATAAGGCCATGCACACGCCAGACTACATCAGCATGCGTAGGCGGTCCAATTTGGATCAATTTGGCAGTGGAAAAGAAAAAGCAGCAAACTTCCAGCCACTTCAGCAATCTATATAGTGGCTGTTCGTTGCTTGGTCTATACATGTCTATACTCACAGTCGAACCACCATGGCTCTGTCTTCAAGACGCTGTGTACACGTGGAACCCACCAACTGTCATCCGTATCAGTGGTGTGTGGTCACGGGTCGCAATTGGCAAAGTGCATTGATCTGGGTGCCCACAAAATGTATATACATGATTCTACATGGCATATACTGTCTGTTATACTACTATATATATATATGTATATAGTTTTTTTTTTTTTTTTTTTCGGATGTGTTCAAACCCACAGCGAGCTGCTTCAACATCGAAAAGACCCTTCTTCTCATCACCTGAAGCACTTGCAGAGCATCTCCAGTGTGCAAAAGCGAAAAGTTGACTTGTAGCTGCAGGTACGAGATGTCCCTTGAGTGTGTTATTCTTTGCACCGGACAATTGTTGGCGGAACGAGCTCGTTTGCCGCGCATTCTCTTTGAACAGCCTTCCAGCCTTCCACGCAAAACTGCCTTTTCCTGTGCAGGCGCAAATCGATAGGCCACCGAGCAGCGTGAATAGAGCAGTGCATGTACACACTACGTTCTTCCGCTTTGGCACCACGGGCGGTCCAATGACTCCCTAGCCCTGCTTTCCCCGCCCCCGGCCAGCTGCCCTCCGCCGTCTGGCGAGGGGCCGTCGCTTTTCAGGATCATCCAGGACCTCTCAGGGAAAGGATGCATGGTCTCGGCCTTTGAGATTGGAAAGAGCACAGAAAAAAGAAGACATGCGTAGAAGTGCAGAAGCTCAGAATTCGGGACGTCTCTATCTGGCTTGTCCATGTTGAGAGACATCTTATATATGGCATTCAAAGCATGTTGACACGTCTGGAAGGCTAGCACTTCCTCTAATTACTAGAACCCCTGTAACTTTGGAGAATGGTTATCAGTTGCCAAAAACTGAAGAAGCCCAAAGAGACTCTCACAGTTCAAGTGTTGCCTTAGGGTTTTTCACGACCACCCTCCACCCGAGCATGGCTTCCGGTTCAGATGTTATCTTTGCCTTTTGCTGCTTGATCTCTTGCTTCAAATGAACAGTTCAGAGCACTCTGAATGGACATGAGAAGGTAAAAGCATCATGTGTGTTCCTTCAGCTCTGTTCCCATCTCTGCTCAGCTTCCCTCCGGGATATCCGGGACCTCATAGGCTTCCCGGATGTCGTTGAAGACTTTTGGATCCCCACCTGCGCAGAAACACCACAAGTCAAATGGATGAAATAAGACTTCTAAAGAAGCGTCTGCAGAATATACGAATCTGAGGCATAGAGGCATATGTGCAAGGTGGCTCGTGTGTTTTCAGGAGTATCTTGAACAGGAATCTTTTGGTTCCAGGCAAGTAGTGGGACCCTCTTTCGTGCCGCCATGTAGGTCATGACGGGCGTTCATGTGTGACGTCGGGCCAAGATGCATGTAGCTTTTGTGTTGCGTGTGCCTAGTCCGAGCGTGGTGTTGCGTTCCCCTGATATAGGTACGAGGTAGGAATGTATGGCATCTCGTGTTTCCGACCGAAAATCAAATGTCCATCCACATGTCTTGGGCTGGGTCTACTACAGAATCGTGGATTGTACTTGGAGGATACCTTTGCAGCCCTAGCAACTGTTGCTGGAAATGCCATGTATCAAAAAGATTAGCAGACTAGCCAGCATACCTTCCAGGGTCACGTCCTTCGTTTCATGGCCCATGCCATGTCCTTCCCATGCATGGTCCTGCGCAGTCACGTCCTTCCTCGCGCCGCCACGGTCCTCCGCGCGGCGCCTTTGTCTGGGTGATACTGCACTGAGAGGCGACGATACTTGCCTGAGGGGATCGGGTCTGCCGGGTTTTTCTCTTTGGAAGCTGCCTCCATCCAGCCTTTGAAACGGACAAGCCTCTTGGTTGTAGTCACCCCTGGCATGCCATCCACTTCCGAGGTTTCTTGTGACTCTTTGCATACACTAAATATCAGGTGCTTCTTTCACAGCGCATGGCTGGGGGTCCAAATTCAGCCCGTGGTAGGTAGTTGTGCACTTTGATCTTTTTGAGCATAGGGGGTTGCAGCCCTATCTGAACGAAATGAACACAAATAGCTTTGCGATGTGCGATAGTCGCATGGTATTTATGAACCGCCGATTTGGGCCAAATGTGGGGGATACTCTTTACTTTAAAGCTTCTTGAATTGCTTCATGGAACTTCATTCTTGAATTCTTTCATTCCGGAACTTTCTCCATTCCTTGAACCTTGAGTTTCTTAAATTCCTTCATTCCTCAGCTATTATTGATGAAGTCCTTAATTCCTTCAATCCTGAAACGCTAGAATCCTTTATTCCTTGATGGTTCAAATTCCTCAACTCCTTCAATCCTGAGTTCATTGACTTCTTGAGTCCTTGAGATCTTCAAGCCTTCATTCCGCTTCCTTACATCCCATGGGGCTTGCTCTGAGGAGAACAAGGAGAAAACTGTTCGAAAAACTTCCAAGTTTGTCCTTGTCTGAGCTGCTCTTAATGGCACTTTGCTCTGCATCTTCTGCGACATCCAAGATCTTGTAGAGGTCTGCGCCTCATCTGGTGAGTTCAAAAACGCTGCAGGCGCACTGCTTTAGCTATCAAGTTCTGGACACCCAGATAGCTGAGGCGCATCACGTGAAGCAGCACAAGAACATGAATTTTGAGATTGGAATAACGGCCAGACGTCCGAGCAGCTGCCGGTGGAAGCTCGGACTCTTCTCAGGTTGGGAGATATTGAAGTCTGGTTCAGGTGAGCGACCAGGGCAAACCGGGGCACTCGATTGGAAACCCAGACTCTGCCTCAATCCGAGAAACGGCTGTTTCTGATGAAGGACAACTGAACGAAACTATAGTGGTCCCCCGCCAAGAAACACATGACTCACAATGAAGAAAATGAACCGCCTTTGGCGCGATTTTCTCGTGGCAAGCAGCTGATCATGCTCTCCTGCTCGTCGGCCATGGCGACTCGCTTGAAGTCAAGCTTGCCTCGCCGTCGACACTGAGACATCAGATCCTATGACATCGTGAACTACTACAGCGCCAAGGTGTGTTCACATGATCCTATATGTGGGGAAGTGTGCATCCACAAGTCCACAAGAGAAGGGCCTGGCGCACGACCCTCGAAAACACCAAAAAGTGAACCCGGACGGACCACTGTCAGACTCTTGGGAACGAATTCCTGCGCCAGCGACCATCTGCAAGGCGTTATAAGCTGTGTTGAAATGATGAGGTCCCTTCCCCTTCTCGGCCATCCCTAGGAGGCGGATGTTTTCCACTAGTCGACCGGAGTTCCAAACGATGCGAAGCACGCATAGCAAATGTCAACGGGATAATATGGGATATGATGAAAATGATAGAATAGGCGGACTCTTGGCCTTGTGGTGCTGGACCATATATCGCAGCTTCGACTTGCAAGCCAAACGCTGGCCAACCCACCCGGTGTCCAGCTCGTGCAGGCCTTTCTTTCCCGTGCTCTTACCTCAGAAAAGACATTGAAAAGAATGAGAAATTGAGGATGCTTCGCTGGTGTTTGCTGTGCATCATCCAGAGCTGTCCAAAGCACACTAGTGATTCTTAGGGGAGGCCGGACAAATACTTGAATCAGTTTGTGGCTTGTTGACCCCATCAATAGTGATAAATTGATAAACACGTTAAATGTATGACATGCGTGGCAGTTAGGGTCCGAAGTGTCATCTTCTTTCTTTACTTCTCCCAACAGCAATTCAACAACAGAATCACCTAGCAGACTGAAAGACTCTGAGATCAACCAAACCTGCATTCACTGATCAGGAAGAAGATTGATCAGTAGACACAAGTCAAGTAGTCTTCAGTCAATTCCAATGGCCACATTATAAGCCAGCCATGTAAGGATGATCACAAATAGTGGAGGATGGCCAGTTTGTTCCAGCCTCCTTCGGTTCACCCACCCACAAAGCTTTTCAGAGGCTCATTTGGTTTCCCGATCTAATGTGGACACTCCCGTGTGTTCCTCTTTTGAACCACCAAATGACAACAGGGGAAAGAAGCTCAACATCACTCCAAAGGCCGATAGATTGAATCCAAGATGCTTGGCTTCTCCATCACTAAGGAGACCTTCTGGAGTTCAGATTCCTCCTTGTCATGAAATCAGCTCATGATGATTTGTATAGATAGACCATGAATGGATCAATGCTGGATGCACACTCTACGGTGCAAGCTTCGCATGGTCTATTACGGGTGATTCTCGCAGCCCACCCTTCTTGAGCTGTTGTAAAGGAATAAGTTTTCTTAAGAATGACTTTTTGAGATACCCTGCCCAAAGGGTCGATGACACCTGGCCAAGGGGTCGATCTGAATTGTCTTTGGAGTCTTGGGGTGTCTCCTTCTGCAAATGCAGACCCACAATCATTGTTGAAGAAACAACTGGGTGAAAACTCATGGTGCTCGAGCAATTTGCTACATAGGTGGCATGCACCTTTGACTTACTCAAAACCAAACCACTGAAAAGAATCTTGAAGTCCATTCCTCCTCGAATCCATCCAAAAGACTTATTTGTCTTCAAAAGTCCTTGTTGTCCAGCTTCTTCCGATCCACTTGCTCTAAGCCCTCAATGGTGAATTTCACCACCTAGAAGAGTGCCCCACGCGATTCGTGGACTCGTCCGAAGCTGGTCCGGTGTGCACTTGGGAGCCCATTGTGAGGTTCCGTGCACTTGGATTGGAAGAGTTGGAAGATTCATCGTTTTCAGAAATGTTCTGAAACTAGGGGTTCAGCGATATCCTCCCTTTCTTGCAGGACCCTCAAAAGAATGTTGCTGTTGATGGCAAATATGCTTTTCTCTGGGATCAATCAATGATATCAATGTCAAGTATGTCTCTGAATCAAAGGACTCAACCAAGAATCGTTTGGCGTTTGGCATCGATTTTTTCGACAGTACAATGGCATGAAACCGTTGATTTTTAACCAAGAATGAAACCGGTGATGTCGCGCATGGGGCCTTGAGCTTCGGCGTGTTAATCAGGACACGGCCATTGTTGGCCGCCCATAGACAATGACCCTCAGGCTCGCACTCCTGCAATAGATCAGCTGCTGCTCGCCACAGTGAGAAAAACATAGAAAAACTTCATCACAAGGACAAACAGGGAGAGTAATTGTATTGACTAGCCATCCAGAGAGAATCTTGAGTTTATGACACGTGTTTTGGCCCAAACTCTTACCTCTGCATTCCCTTGGCACGACTTATTGTTCCTTCCTTCGGAGATCTCTGATCTCTCCGCGCAGGGGGCCACTCCTTCAAAGGAGACTCGACGAAGCCGTCCCGTAGAAGCAGGTACTTGGAGGTCTTCCCTTCCTCACATTCACACATTGAATTGGGTGATCCCACCTTCGCACTCATTCATGTGATGTTGCATCTTGTCAAATGAAGGAGAGTCTGACTATTGCTTGTCAGTTCACCTTGATTTGCGCTTCATTCCGACATCCTCTCCACTCCCTGCACTCACTGGTCAGCTTTCCGGTACACATGAGATCTGCAAGCTGCCCCTCCCCTTTGCCCGTTCAAACCCCGTTTTGGTGTGCCACCTTTTGCCCAAGCGGCCCACTCGGTGTTCACCAGCCACCTCAAAGAATCGTCGCACATCCAGCTGGAGCGTTTCGGCGTTTCAGCCATCGAACCGAAGTTTCAGGCCCTGAGGCGCAGGCTCAAACTCGGCCTCAAACGAAGCTCAGAAGTAGGTGTGAAGATACGGAGGACCCGACCGCAGTGCCTAAACCAAATTTGAACAAAGGATGGTGCTTGCTTGGCAAGATTGAAACGATCTGCGGCATTCTTAAGACCAATGGCCAATGACTCACAACGACCCAAGCACCCGTAAGTAGAAGGCATTGGTCTAGCCATCCCAGGAACACTTCGATCTGCAGGATCCACCCACCAATTGGAGATGGTTCCTGCCACTCCAAGCCATGTTCCATCCCACCAGTGGAAATTCTGTCTACCTTATACCTTCCTTACGAGCCATCTGGGTCGCCAAGGATCGGCCAGCTGGGTCCCCAAACTGAGATTTCAGAGTTCTCGGTTTTGGGCCACTCAGCTCCTTTGCGTCCACCACCGCCCATCATACCACCTGTTCCAAGTTCAAGTTGACAGCCCAAAAAAGGTTCCAGGCATGAAAAACTGAAACCAATTTGGAGAGTGTTGAGTGCTCTGAAAGCGAGGGCTGAAAAGCTGCAATACCTGCACTCTGGTTTCGCTGGCGGTGCAATTGTGATTGAAACCAATTCCCGGTTCAGTTGGCGCTGAGTCGCAAAGTCCTTGATGCAAAAGGAATGTCCTTTGTCGGGGCAAGTGCGAAACGGAGCAAAGGGCCTCCCATCATCCCTTGCAACATCTCGGCGGGGATCTCGAACTGGAACTGCCCTGGCGATGCTGTATTTGCATCTGTATTTGCATTCTATGTACGATGCACAATCAGATACCATTCAAACAACATTGTGATGTCGGTCATTGGGATTTTTTGTTTTTAGAATTTGCGTTCCGTGATGGAATACACCTCTGCACTCAGAGCTGCAGCTCACGCCGTCGTCTCCCCACCAAACCCAGAACAACTGCCTCGAGCATTCTTTGCCAACAGCAACAGGAAGCAAGCCTCCAAGCAGTATGCCGCACACATTAAGCAGTGAAATGTGGTTTGGTTTGGCAAAAAAAATGCAAAAAAATGCAACTGGTTGTTTTCCTTCTCACAACACGCGCAGTTGCCAAATTGGCTGGGAATTTTGATTTGTTTGTTTCACAACAATACCTGATTAAATGTTAGGCGGCCAGTGGGGTGGTCACGCTGAGATCTGCACTAGAAGCATCACCAGCAACACCTTCGTGAAGCAAAGGCAATCAACAAAAACAAAATTACACACCAAAAATATCATTTGGCGACCTGGCGCTGAAACATCTACACTGAATAGATTGAGCCGTTTCCATCAAGGATCGGCTTTCTGAACACAAACCGCCAAAACATCTCTCCACGATAGGCCTGCAGCCAGCCGCCACAGGTTCACGCGGCTGTTGAGGGGCTGAAAGAACACACAATTTGATGATGTTCCACGTACGTGTTCTGCCTATAGTGCTCAACCCTCCGTGGCTCCAAAAATTTGCGATGCTGGAAAACAAAAAATATTTGCCGCTGCCTTTACCTGAAATCAAAATTGTTTGCAATGATGCTGCCGACTCTCTGCAAGCCAAATTCCTTGACAACTCCAACCGTCCAAATGAACAACAACGAAACTGCCACTGGAAGAGACCCCAAATAGAGTTGAATGGAACAGAGTCATCTAGTAGACATAGACACGCAAGTGGGGGCACGCAGTTGCTTTCAGCGCACAAATGCGGCAGAGCAGGTCGAAACCCTGTAAACTAACAAGTTGTTTTTTCCGCAGCGGCGCCTGGGACAGGGTGGAACGAGTCATTCTTGAGAAAAAAGCAGCCCAGGCACATTCACTGAAGACCATGATTTGTGTTGAGCATCAAGGGTGGCTCATCAGGTCCTCCATCATGGTGCATGCCAAGCCCTTCACCCGTTGGATTGCATTCTTGGGGGGTTTACCTGCTTTTCGCAAGCCTGATGCTCGTCCTAGACGACTGCTTCTATCGGCCTCGCCAAGTTGCCTTGCGCTAGTTGCATTTTGTTGCCGCCATTTTGCGACCACAAGTCCAAGTCAAGCCATGGCCAAGTCTAGCGCCGCTTCGTCCGCTGGTCCACAAGGTTGACGAGGGAGACAAAGGGCGGGAATCATCTTGGCCCTACATCATTCAGCATGCACCTCATGGAGATTGCCAGTTGAAGCTTCTCCAGTAAGGGCTATCCAGCAGCCCAAGATTGTCTAGCTGTCCAGCAACCCATTCCTGCAGGAAGAGGGAAAAGTGGGTCTGGCGCAAATTCAAAGCCAGGGTGCACCTCCATCTTGAATGCGACGCCAGCTAGTGACTTCAGAACAAGCAGGCACAAGTGGCTGATCAGACCACTCAACACTGGCTGGGTGCTTGGGCACACTGGCCGGCAAAAGCTGTGAGTGTTGCATTCCCTGCAAGAATTGAGAGCCCCTCACAGCAAAGCTGTTTGTTGAAAAAGAAAAAGGTGATTTAGTGAGCCCGGAAACCTGAAATGAGCTAACGGCGCATCATTCTTGCCAAAGACATTTGTGGGGCAGCAGTACTTGCGTGCATTATTTGCCGTTGCTGTTTGGGAAAAAAGAATCAGTTAAAGAAAGGCACACCATTCTTGCCAAAGACATTTAAAAGTCCTGGCACACTGAAAGAGTTGGCCACAACCACTCCCACAGCGCCCTAACCCGAACACTGGAGTACAGGTTGTCAAGTGGCATGTCCTTTGCACATGTCAAGAAGGCAAATACATCACATTTCGTCTCAAGATCACATACAATTTCATCCAACTTGTATGAGCTGTGGAGCCAATTTTCGAGCTGACCTTGAAAGAAAGAACGATGATGATGATGATGATGATGATGATGGTGACGATGCTGATGATGATGATGACGGACGGGGCGGAGACAGACGCCATATCCACAGAGGCGGGGGCCCTTTTCCGCCACTGAATGGTGAGGTTTTTTTTTCCGCCTTTGGTGCAGCAACGGAGCTTTCTCAATATTGGCTCTCGACTCTCCAGACTGCGGACGCCCCAAGTCTGACCCACAACGAGCTGCCTTCCTGACACCTCGTGATTTCTTCCGCGGCCAGGCCCACTCCCACAAAAGGATGGAGAAAAAGTGAGGCGTGTCCGTGCTGTCGACCACGACAGGGGCAGCTCCCAGTCCAATCCCACTGTCGGCAAAGCTCGTTTGAAGGACGGGTAGCAGCCTTGCCTGCTGGCACGCTGGGCAGGTCTACGCCGTAAGCGGGCGCCCACCGCTGCAATTTCACACAGAACTGGCAGTCGGGGTCGCCTGCACACTCCATGGCCGCCAGCCAGGGGAAATTTGTTTCCGTTCGTTTGCCGGTTGTTGGGCACCCACCTTGCTTGGCTCGGATGAGTGATGGATGAGTGATGATGGATGATGGATGGTGAGGATGAGGATGAGGATGAGGAGGATGGAGATGGAGATGGAGATGGAGATGGAGATGGAGATGGAGATGATGATGATGATGGATGATGATGGATGATGATGGATGATGGATGATGATGGATGATGATGGATGACGGTGGTGGTGGTGGTGATGATGTGAACCCATATCGTAAAGTTCGCTTTCGGCCACACACTTTCAGGCTCTCAATATAAGCATGCTCATGTTCGCTAGGCTGTAGGCCATCCAGGCCTATTTTTGGCCACCTGCACAAGAATGACACGCGCAAACCAGAGGGCGCGGCATTCGAGAGAACCACGGATCGATGCGGGCCAACCGCATGGCTCAAGCGCATGAAAAAGTGCACGACCACAACGGTGGTCTGGGGGGCGTGACCTGGTCGCGGGTCGAACGTTTCGTTCACGCGTTTGCAACCAGGTCCTTTTGAACGGCATCCCAACCGAAGTGAATCTTCATATGGTAGCGGAGCCCCAATCCGGGCAGTAGGTTTCTCCACATTTGTTCAACTCCGTTGTCGTTCTCACTCCTTTAGGATCCTGAGCCATGGCAACCTCTGGAGGAACTGCAAGCCAGCGCGATCGATCAAGGGACCGTTCGCCATCAAGGCCTGCTTCAGGCCGACAAGCACCGGGAGTGCAGGGGCGGAATCCGACCGTCTCGATCGTTTGGAGTCTCAAGTGTCGCAACTTTCGAATGCATTGTTGGTGCTAGGCCCTACTCTAGACCAGATCGTTCAGTTGCAACAAGCCGCTGCTCCTCCGAACCTGACACCATGTCCTGGAAGGCCCACTGGATTCCCGACCGGCCCGCCACTCCAGCTTCGAGCAGCTGTCGCGCAAAATGAAAGACCAAAGAGGCCCTTTATCATTTGCCGTCAGCATGTCCTTTGCCAGGATCGCATTGCGGTCGTGGGGCAGGACCCCCCGAAACTGAGGCGCGTCGTAGATGAGGCGGCCGCTGTCTGCATCCAGGTAGGCGCTGTTGAACAGGCCGAGTGCCTGAAGGTGCCAGAGAACACAAATTGAATAAGTACTGGTCGTAGTAGTTAGTCGTAGTAGTAGTTGTCGTGGTAGAAGTGGTGGTGGTGGTGGTGGCGGTGGTAGTAGTAGTAGTAGTAGTAGGTGTAGTAGTAGTAGTAGTAGTACTAACAGTAGTAGTAGTAGTAGTAGGAGTAGCAGTAGCAGTAGCAGTAGCAGTAGCAGTAGCAGTGGCAGTAGCAGTAGCAGTAGCAGTAGCAGCAGCAGTAGCAGTAGCAGTAGCAGTAGCAGTAGCAGTAGTAGTAGTAGTAGTAGAAGTAGTAGTGGTAGTAGTAGTAGTAGCAGTAGTAGTAGTAGGGTGGTGGTAGTAGTAGAGTAGTAGTAGTGGTAGAGCATTATGCATATGGAATAAGCCCGACACTTGATCAATCTCATCAGTGCTGAACTGTATAACAGATGAACGCAACGACTTGACCAGCTTGATTCTTCATTATCGACCGATTCGAATACCAACACCACCACGACGACGACGACCACTACCACTACCACTACCACTACCACTACTACTACTACTACTACTACTACTACTCCTGCTACTCCTGCTACTCCTGCTACTCCTGCTACTCCTGCT